CCACCTTAGAGCGATTGCCTGCGATTGCCGTCACGACTGATGGGCGATTGCCGTCACGACTGATGGGCGATTGCCGTCGCAACTGATGGCTGATGAGCGATTGCCATCTCAGCAGCCTCGATACTGAAGCGTCGCAGGCCGATACAACACCTTCGTCCAGCTGGCTAATACAGCGCCGCTTTAGGGAGTGATAGAAAGAGAGCGCCGTGAGAGAGACGAGAGAAACATAGTGGAGAATTAGTGAATTAGGGTTGTGAATTAGGGCTTTTATTTACCCGATTTTTGAACAAATAAACATTAGGCCTAAATTTTAAAAAGCAATATTTGAAACCCTGATTTTTTATAATTTCCCAAGGAAATATATGTATTACGGAATCTGCCCATTCGGATGCATGGGGACTGAGCCATGCGTGCGCATGGCTCGCCTCTGTAGCAACTAAGGCAAAATGCCTCAAGGTATGTGCACGAATGGGCCTGGAAACAAGCCGTTAAGGCTAGTTTTCAGGTTTTTTTTTTTGGTGCCTTTTGATGGAAAGCGCACAAATTTTCACAAATGTTTGGAATCTTTTCATAGCGTATTTAATGAAAACTATATATAGGTGATAGTTTTTTTATTTCTAAACACTAGAATTCATAATATAGTTTTTTTTTTTATTTCTAAACACTAGAATTCATAATTCATTTCATACTTAAAAAGAACTTTCCCAATTATCATATATGTAAATTAAATATAAACCTTGAGATTCAATCATGGAGATCACCTCAAACGTCCGCTTCATAAAGAGAATTAACCCAAGTATTTTTCATATTTAAGTGAGGTCAATATAAACATTCTAGTATCCATTACTTCTCAACAAACCATTTGCATAAATGTTGAAAATTATTAACATGTTAGATGAACAAAATATTTCTTAATCGAAATGACATTTTGTAATGCTAATAAGGACAAACATTGCTTTATCCATTGCTTCTTAAAATTTTAAAGCAAAGGAAACAAAGAAAACCCTTGATTAAGCAAGATGACATTTCCTGTTATTAATAATAATGTAAAATTAATTGAGATAAAAATATCGAAAATAATTTATATTTCAAAATTATAAAGCAAATAATCTTATTTATATGATATAAGCAAAGAGAATTTTCTAAGTATTTTTTTTTTAACTGTTATATGGAAATAACATTGGGAAATTACGAAGTCTTCATGAATTAATAGATTTCTTTCATATCTTTAACAAGTTACTAATGATTATCAACCACAATCCAACCTATTAAATCTCATTAGAATGTAGTTTTATTGCTAATCTTTGGATCATGCTTTAAAATATAGCCCCTATTTGATGTTTTTTCTAAAATTTATTTTCTCAAACTTATTTTCTATTAGACATTTCATGGGAACTTTTTAACTAAAGATTTCATCAACTTTGATCAAAATTCACCAAAAATTTTAATTATTAGTTAAACCAAATGGGGGCATAATGATACACTTTTGCAACATCCAATGCCACTTCATTCTCTTTACAAATTAAAAAGAAATAAATAAAGAGTAATGTTATTTATTACTGCAGATGCTAAACACCAATTTAAATGGTAATTATATAACATTAAATGATAAAATAATTCTGACACTAACATTATTCATGAAGAAAAGTCCAATAGTTCTACCTAGAGGTGACAATCGAACCGAGCAGCTCGACCGTCGGCTCGTAAAAAATGGTCTCGTGAGCCGCTCGGGCTCGTCTCCCTAATCAAGCTTGACTCTTTTTATATACTAGCGCTCGTGGGCGAGCCAGTGAGCCAGGCTCGTTAAAA